TCGCGCGCACACACTCTCTCTCGCGCGCACACACTCTCTCGCGCGCGCACACACTCTCTCGCGCGCGCACACACTCTCTCGCGCGCGCACACACTCTCGCGCGCACACACTCTCTCGCGCGCACACACTCTCTCGCGCGCACACACTCTCGCGCGCGCGCGCACACACTCTCGCGCGCACACACTCTTTCTCTCTCGCTCGCTCGCGCGCGCGCGCACACACTATCTCTCGCGCGCACACTCTCTCGCGCGCAGTCTCGCGCGCACACTCTCTCTCGCGCGCACACTCTCTCGCGCGCACTCTCTCTCGCGCGCACACTCTCTCGCGCGCACTCTCTCTCGCGCGCACACACTCTCTCTCCTGTCTCCTCTCTCTCCTCTCTCTCTCCTCTCTCTCTCTCCTCTCTCTCTCTTCTCTCTCTCTCTCTTCTCTCTCTCTCTCTCTCTCTCTCGCGCGCGCGCGCTCATACAAATTTAATGTTCCTGTTCCTTGAAACACAACAGAAAAATACTACACTTATTATATTTTTAGTTGTCTGTTCATTTTTCCAATTATTTAATCACTGAAGGTTTTCTGGTGTGTGAAACAGAATTGTGGGGCCCACCGTGCTTCTGGACTGTGCAGAGAAGAAAGATGATATCCCTAAAAACAGCCGGCCTCAGTATTGCCGTGCGATGCTAGGACTAAACATTTGCTTCACTGGATTTCGCAAACGTGAAGATTTGGTAAGCAATTTTTAGTTTTTTATGTCTGTGGTTTTCAGTTCTTCACAAAGAGGTCAGGAAGGCAATTGTTATTCAGGCAAATTCAATCTTTATAAAGTATGATCATATGAGTGAATCACCAATAAATTGTGACTGGTCACTTCTTCCGTATTGTGAATGATGTAAACCATATTTTGATCCAATTCGCACTGCACGTTGTGAGTTTTCTCAGACAAAGCAAGTTAATTACAGATACGTGTGAAACGTTCACAGGAGGTGCAGTGACGAAAGTTTCATACCAGCTGCTGCGATGAATAAGTTGTTTGTACATTTTCTGAGTGCATTCAGTATGGTGCTTTTAACTTCTTTATCCACAATTTTCCATCATTGTTAGTATCTCTGTAGGAAACAAAGAAAAGAGGTGCATGGCATTATCTAGAAAGGAAAAAGTATGAAGAATTTCTTACCTTGATGCCATAACTTTGGAAGAATGAGAAACACTCTTATACAGCAAAACTTAATGTTTTTCAGGGGATTGAAGAGGGGGAATCATATAAGTGAGAAAAACACATTACTAAAATTTAACATTATAGGGAAAACAAATTTTCAATATTTCAACATTTCAACATTTTTCAATATTTTTACATTGACACGCTCCACACTGGGATCTGTTTGTAGGAACTGTTACGAATGTTACTTTTGATTGATTTTATCAAAGAACCATAAAAATAGTGCGAGACGTATGGGAGAGAAGTAGCATCTTTGTAAGTTTTCTTGAGCTCCAGAATCTCTTCCCAACATTTTAACTATAAATTGTTGAAAGATGAATAAAAGAGTCAAAAAAATCCAAGTTAGCAACGTTTGTAAACTAGACATTTTTGCTCCTGAGTTATAGAAAACTTATTTGTGTCAATGAACAAATTTGACTGAGCTTCTCAACTGGTGCATGGCCACCTCCTGAAAGCCTAGAAAGTACAGCTCTGTCATGAACTAACTCCCTTGTACAAAAACTCACCAAGGTCGTGAATTTTCACAGGTTTCATCTAACTGTCAAATGACCATTTTACGAGTTTCAAAAATTCTCCATTCATTAGGATTTTGACCCAGGTACCTGCCCTGCTACAGTGATTCAGTAGAAGACTTGCTTCTCCTTATGCAAATTGTTGGCTAAGGATCAAATATTTATTTCACCCTGTAGAGTGCTTCGGTAAAAAAAAACTCAAAAACAAAGTTACAAACTACAGAATGTATTTTACTAACACTTTCTTTTGGGTTTAATGTGTGTGGACATGATGCAGAATTTGTCTAAATTGGTGGACGAAAGGACAGCTCATTTTGTTGTGGTCATCACAAGCGATTTTGGACTCCTGTTGTCTCGACAAATAATAGTAAATAAGATGTAGTATTGTATATGATGGTTGTTAATGTTGCAGAACCGGCTGATGCAGCTAATCCACTTCATGGGTGGCAGCATCCGAAAGGACATGGGCTCCAAAATTACTCACCTTATAGCGAACTCGCGAGGAGGAGATAAATACCTTTATGCTGCTACATTTCGTGTCCCTATAATGTCTGAAGCCTGGGTCCATGCATGTTGGGAACAAAGAAATGTTGTTGGGATGTCAGCTGTCAGCCCTGAGATGGTGAGTTCTGTAGATATTTTTTTTAAATGAGGTATAAAATGTTCTAAGACCAAATTTACAATCTTTTAAAATGGACAAGATCTATGTAAAAAGGACATGTACTGAATGTTCATGTTGTGAGAAAATGAGGTTTGGAATTTTTTCATGCCTGTTACTTTTGTAAGGTGCATTTTGAATTCTGAATCAATGACTTGTTTTGAACATCTTAATTATGCATCGAGAATACACTCCATAGAAAAGAAAATCTTAATATGCACATAACAATTTGAACATGTTTTGCTTTGAATTCTTTCCTTGTACAATGGAATTTTTTTACTTTGTGGTGGTATGATATTTCAGAAATGTAAAGTACATCATCGAAATCTGAAGGATTAAGTTTTTAACTCAACTCCTAGTGGCTGGCATAGCGGAAAAAATTGTAAATCTTTTGGCTGATCAATTGAAAATGCAATGTGACCAACCCACTGCAGAAAACAAACTTTCTGAAACAAAGGCAAAATAAATATTGAAACAAACATGTAGTAAATAACTATTATATTGTGTTGTCAGATTTCATGCTTTGTGGGTCCTTGATACCAAAAAAGTGAAACCCCAAGAGTATTTTCAAAATTTTCTCAATATATCTTTATATATAGATAACATGGTTATTTCTCAACTTATTTACTCTGCAATTTTAAAGTTACTTTTGAAAAAAGGTGTCCGACTTGATTTAATTCCACACATATTTAAGAAGAAATTGATTGCAAATTTTTCTCCTACTTTACTACCTCTGTTTAACAAATCTCTGTGAGGGAGAGTTTTTCCATTTGTCTGGAAATCTAATTATATTATTTCTATTCACAAATTGATTTCCATTTGGGTTTTGAAACTATAGACCTATCTTAATCCTGAGTACTATAAGCTTTTTGAATCTGTTGTGAAACTAATTGCATTATGTATACTTTCAGATGGGATTTGAACACTAGCAGTTAATACTAATCTTCTACCTTTTTAGCATGTAGTTTTTGAAAACATAAATAATAATTGCTGAAAGAATGCTAGTTATAGACTTTTCAAAGGCTTTCAATACTATTTGTCAATATTCTTTGTTAGTGAAATTTCAATATATTTGTAATAATGTTACTTTTCTTGAGTGGATAAAAAACTATTAAACTGACAGATTTCCATATGTCAAACATATATCATTTGTATCTTGCGCAATTCATGTCAAATCGGGTGTGCCACAAGGGTCACATGTGGGCCCTTCATTATATATACTTTTCATCAAAGAATTGGATATCTTAAATTAGTTTATCTTAAATTATTTATGCACATTAAAACTTTTTGATTGTACACAGCTGTTTGTCAAGTTGATGGATACTGAGACGACAAAAATGTCAATATACATTCTGTCATTTTCTGAGACTTCATTCACATGTGCCTCACACAATCACAATTATCCAGTAACCATAAACCTATCTGACCAGCTTTTAGTGTTTGAAAGATATTTGCATTATTTATTGTTCATGATTTTTCATGCTGAAGGTAAATTGTTTACCTCTTTTACAGATGAGTTACAAACACAAGCCATTCTACAGTGCCTTTGTGAGTTTCTTTGGTTTTCCTGAGGAAGAACGAGAACATATGACAGAGGTTTTGCTAGAAAATGGAGGTGTTGCAGTTGATTTGGAAGATCCAACTTGTACACATGTGGTAAGTTTCTTTTGTGCTCTCTCCCTCTCTCTTCTTCTTTCCCTCGCCCGTCAATTGGTTTCTCTCTCTATCCCCTTTATCAGTCATGCTCTACTCTCCTCCCCTCCATCTTCCCTTCTCTCTCCTCCCCTCCATCTTCCCTTCTCTCTCCTCCCATCCATCTTCCCTTCTCTCTCCTCACATCCATCGCCCCTTTTTCCCCTCTACCTTCCCCTCCATCTCCCCTTTTCTCCTCTCCCTCTCTATCAGTCACTCTCCCTCTCCCCTTCTTTACATCCTCCTTCTCTGTCTCCACCAACCCCTCCCTCCAAGCTGTCTCTCCATCACCACTTTCGTCCACCCTCTCTCTGCCATCACCTCTCTCTACCCTCTCTCTCCACCTCCTCTCTCTGCCATCACCTCTCTCTACCCTCTCTCTCCGCCTCCTCTCTCTGCCATCACCTCTCTCTACCCTCTCTCTCCACCTCCTCTCTCTGCCACTTCCTCCCTCTTTTCACCATCCCCTCCCTCCACCCCCTAGATCTCTCTGTCTCTTTGGGCCACTTCCTCTCTCTCTCTCTCCACCATCCCCTCTCTCTGTCTCTCCGCCTCTCCCTCTCTTCACCTCCACAACTCTCTTCAACCCCTCCCTTCACCCTCCCTCCCCCCTCTCCCTCTCTCTCTGATCACCCCTCCCCTTTCTATCCTTCCCTCCTACCCCTCTTCCTCTCACCACTTCCCCTCCCCTCTCTTCCCCTCTTTCTCTCTCCCCCTCCTCCCCTCTCTCTTTCCCCCTCTTCCCCTCTTTCTCCCCCTCCCATTCCTCCTTCACTTTCTCCCTCCTCTCTGTCTTTTTAATTTATAGATCAATTAGTTAATCTATTTATTTTTGTGAGTTCTAAAGAGTGACGTTAGAGAATGTCACTTACCGAAAAGTGAGTGAGTGAAAAGAATGACACTCATCTTTTAAGAATCAGGAAATGAATCTAAGAAATATTTCCTGCGTAGCTTCTGGGTACTTATAGTACGTGTATGTTAAATAAAAAATGTCGTACTAATGTTTTTTACTGCCTATTTGTTGTTTTACAAAAATATTTTGTGTAGAAAAATGATTTGCTTATTTATTTATTAATCTGTTTCTTCGTAAGCATTAAAATACTTAATTTATTCATACGTTTCAGTTAAATATTTGCAATATGGTTTCAGACAAAATAATTAAAATCTACAAATGATAAGTAATAGCAATTGCCATGATCTCTAAATTTTAAATAAGACATTTCAATTCTTCTGGCTGACACTTCCCATTTTTATTAATGATCAGTTTATCAGTATTTCGTGAAAATGATTAAGACTACATTATGATAAAAAACTTTCATATTTTCATGCATAGCTCTTGGAGGGATTTGGGTGAAATATGTGCTTTGTAGAACACAGTAAATTGCAAGACCATGTAAGTATTTATAATTATTTTTGTTTGTATTTTCCTATTTAAACAAAATTTTCTAAGACCCAGTATCAGAGAAGTATAGTTTTGCTCAAATTCTATTTTGCAAGATGTGCCTCTTTTAATGTATCATTTATTCAAGACTGTGGAGAAATAATATTAAAGATAGATCAAAATTACTCTGAATGTTAAATAAAGTGATATTTTTATCACAAATAATGTGATGTGTTTAAAAAATCCATGTCTAAAATTCCTTCATTGGTTAAGTCAAATTAATACAATTAAATAATTTTTCAACATTTTAATGAACATAGGAAAGAACATAATAAATTTTGTTCTTTGTAAATACAGGTAGTTGATGAATCTGCAGTGCAAAATGTGCCAGAAAAGACTCCAGCAAAAGCATTTGTGGTTAAAGTTGAATGGTTTTGGTCGTCTGTTCAGAATGAAGCTTGTGCAGCTGAAAAGGAATATCTTTTTGAAGATGTGAGTATTTTATTGTAGTATGTGTACTTGTTTTGTGTGCAAGCACCTGAGTTATGAACTGTGTGAAAACATTACTTAAGAAAAAAATATTTTTAAAATTGCACAGATTTATATGACAATTATTATAGTATCTAATAGGATGGTGATAATTAAAATCATTATTTTCATTCTAATATTTTTTTAAAAATGTAGCCCCAATTTCAAACATAACTTTATGTACTTTCCATTGAAATCCATCTTGTTCAACATCTTTTTTACAGGCCACAGTCTTCACAATTTTCTAATTTATCAAATCACAATTTTCTAATTTATTGAAATGTAGAGAAATGCTTAGAGAAAAGCAAAGAGAACAGAAATAGTTTCTGACATTAATATTGATCACCTGAAAAACAAAGTTTACCGGAACAAAGTTGACCGGTTTATTATAAATTTAATTATAATAATATATGTAATAACTAACCTCTATTATAAATAACTTATAATTATAATTAAGGAAATTAATAAAACATTTTATATTTCTACAAAAATATTGAATATGCGAAACCTTGAAAGATGCTGAATTTTGCCCTACAGTACAAAATAATCCTGCTTAAAATATCCTGCTGCACATTTTAACATGTTTCTATGAGTATTTTGTGTTTTCACCCAAAATCAGACACATGGGCAAGTACACTTAACAAGCCTAGCTGTGTGTTATTTCATGAAGAAATTCATGTTTTTTTTGTTTGATGTGTTTTGTTTATTATTTAACAAAACCTTCGATTTCTTTTAATCTATGAAACTATTTTGGTAAAATGTTCAAATATTTGAATGAGTTCAACAACGTTAGTATTTTGAATGTGTATTTTAAGGGAATATGGTTCTTTACGAAATTATAAATTTATAACATATATATAGATAACAAATTATCTATGTCTTCTTTGTAATTAAGTATTATTATTGTTGTTATTATTATTAATGTTATTATCATT